TTCGTGGGAAAGATGATGGAAGCCCATGCACCACCCCTCTAAGAGCACAACGTCGAGAGGAGCAGCTACAGTTAATTTGGATGAGGAACGATCCCCATAACCATCAAATAAGCTTTTATCAAATACTGGCGTCTCAACGGGAGCAGTAGCCTCCCCATTAATGACCGAGAGGCTCGTCAAAGTGAGGTGAAGCAGATCAAGATCGTGTGTTCCGGGGTGGCCGCGGCCACTGAGGAGCCAATTGTTTGGATATTTCTCGGCAGTCGATTTGAGTCCGTCATACGGCAGGTAGAAATCATCCATTGAAAGCACTGAGACCCTCAGTGAGTTCGGCGGACAAGACAAAGATTCACGAAGTTCATTTGTGATTGTCGTCTTTCCTATCCCTTGGGGCCCCTGCATACCAATAAACAGAGGCGGAAGCTCGGCCCAATTGACTTAACGAGGCTCGATGAGCAGATAGTGCGCGAAGCACATACTGCGTCACAATGGATTGTTTCGACATGATGAAAAATGTGTTGTTGGGCATTGGCAAGGCGTAGGGTCTTCGGCGTAAATATGCAAAAACAAGGGTGAGGAGAGTAAAAAAGTACAAGCTCGATTTCCAGATCTATTTCTGCCTCAACTGGTTTACCGTCGTAAATAACAGCGTGATGAAAACCGCGTCTGTGACTGCCTAAGCGGGAACGCCATACTAGGGAGAATGCACGAGAAGCCAATATTACTGGAGGGAGGCAGAACAACAAACCCCAGCCTCGAGATTTGCTCAAGATGAGAGCTTCGGGAAAAGAGAAGGGAGAAACCCTCCCCACGCATGATGGGTGATTGTGCTCAGGGTCGGACCCTATCGCCGACGCTTCATGTATACGTTGTTTGTTGACGAGTCGAGCGTTGGCGTCGTCCCCATGTCCCGTTTGTATACAGATCGAGTCTTGGCTTCGGTCTCGGGATTGGCTTTGGTGTCTTGCGAGGTCTCCCTCCATAAACCCATATCTTCGTTAAAATAAATAAGTAAGCAACCCGTAAATTCCCTGCCCTGTTTCCCGGGGAGGCAGCGGGGTTGAACTGTCATTCGTAGGCTCGTGTCCTTTGGGTCTTGCGCTCCATTGTCATGTCACCGGTAGCTTTGACGCAGTAGTAGCACTGCCATGTTCAAGTCTGGGCGTCCTGCTAGCACGTGGTTACTTTCTTTCCGATTTCCGCAACCTGTGATTGTGCTGTGACTGCGGCGCTCAGTAATCGGTATATAAGTATCGAGATAGTGAAGAGGCGTGCGCGTACACCTCAAGGTCTGTGTCTCTAGTATTTACCTGGGTCTGGCCTTGATCGATCGTTCACAAGGTTACAAATGGCGAGCTCTGAGCTGTTGAAGCAAATTCAATCAGGAAGGCTCTGAAAAAGGCAACCACAAATGATAGATCTGCCCCCCAGCTATCGGGTGTCAAAACTTCCGCCAGCCCTAGCGGAGGCGGCAGTGGTGGTGACAGTGGTGGAGGTGCGAGGACTTCGGGCGGTGGTGTCGCACCTCCCGTTGGTGGTGCTGGCCCGCCTCAGCTGGGTGGTCTTCTGTCAGGTGGCATACCCAAACTCAAACCTGTCGGATCAGGGCCCCCTTGTGAGTGTGCCTCGATTATCAATGGCTGCCATTAATGCTCAAAACATGTCGGTTTTATCAGCTAAGCTTACGAATTTAGCGAAACCACCTTCAATACCGAAGAAGACTCCAGGTGCACCCTCCGTAACCCCTGCACCACCTCCGCCGCCTCCGCCGCCTCCTGTTCCTGCCAATGCACCTCGTCAACCCACGGCGCCGCCCCCGCCATCTTCCTCAGGCAAGTACATTATTCGGCGATTGGGCGAGTGCACTAGTTCACACTTTTGTAGTCCCTGCGCTCCCCCCAGGCGCCTCCACCTCCTCTGTCAACATCCCCTGCGCCTCCGGCCAGAGTGGCACCGAAACCTCCTGTGATTCCTCGTGCGCCTCCTCCGGCACCGCCTACTTTGACGGCCCCAGAATCACCAGTGTCAGCCCCCGCCCTCTCCAGGGCACCACCTCCGTTACCTGGCCGTGCCCCACCCCCAGTGAATCTCTCTGCCAGTTCAACCGTGCGCCCTCGTATGTCTCTTTCCTTTTAATCACGGGTCATGAAGTTGACATAGGTTATTTCTACAGCGCCCCCCATACCACCGGTGCCATCTTTATCTTCTAGTGTTGATTCCTCTTCGAAGCCATGTAAGCTACGTTCCCTCATTTGCTGGCAACTGGGCTCATGTATGACTATCTAGCGCCATCTGCCCTTTCTGCTCCCAGCCTTCCTGCTCGTCGTTTACCTCCCGAACTGCCTCCGCGAGGGCCAACCACCAATAGGAATGCTCCACCACCACCTCCCCGGTCTGGGTCAATAGTCCGGCCATCTTCTCCATCCAGTGCTCCTTCAACACCTAGAACACCATCAGCTCGATTAGCCCCGCCCCCGCCGCCGCGACCTGCATCTTCACAACTTGCCACCCTACCTCTGCCACCGGGGCGTGCGCAAGTGGTACCGAGCACTGAATCTGGGCCCACGCGAGCTCCACCGCCTCGACCAACTCCTTCGCCTCCGGCAGCGTCATCTAATGCCCCCTCTATCCCTGATCGACGCGGTTTTGCTCCACCACCACCTCCCCCTCCCCCTCCTGGAGGACCGCCTCGAAACAGAGTGTCTTCGACCCCACAAAGTATTTCGTCGTCCTCTCATCCTGTTCGTCGACTAGTATCCTCGGTGTCTGCAGGAAGTGGACAGGGAGCAAAGGAGAATGGCATAAAACTGTCCAAGAGTGAGTTTGCAGTAAACACCATTACTCTAAAGCTAATTGCTCGTCCAAATCTAGTTCCTGAGCCTGCAGCTGTTTCAGGCAATCTTACGTTTCCTACGTCAGACATGTTCCCTCCCCCTCGCCCATTTGTTAAAGGTGCTAGGGTATACACGAGTGGAGGCAACAAGGGTTCCCATTTCGATCTCTCTGTATTATAGATTGCACCTTACCTAATGGTTTACGTATTTCAATGGATTAGCTGGGGAAATGCTCAATTTATTTCGAATTTCATGACTGGGCAATGCGCTAGGCAGGTGACCAGCCTCTATAGTAGCGATGCGCTGCCATGAATGATCATGGGACAGCCAATATTGCCATTTTTTTGGCGGAACCTTTCGTAGGTTTCGCAGGGTGAAGGGACTTCACCTGAGGGTTTGTGTGGGACTCCGTGACCATGGTCCTGGGCCACCCGGGGAAATCGACGTTTCGCAGGGGCTGTGCGTGGGGCTGTCCAATTTCCGCCCAAGCGTGCTTTTCTGTTGATCAATCATATTGATGCGTGGCATGTGGCTGTACATTTGCATATTGAACACGTCGAACTTCAACAGTACATAAGTAAAGCAAAGCCGTTCCTCCATTCCCTCCATTCCTTCAAAAATGCGCATCTCTTCCCTTTTAAAATCATCGCTACTCATCGCTGGGGCTGTCATTCCATGGTATGCAGTAAATGTTCCTCTCAACCAACCCTTCTCTTGCTTTCTGGGTTCACATGCTGATTAATAATATTGTCTCCATGATCCGAACTTAGGCGGGCAGCGGCGGGTGAAGGTCCCAGCGATGTCATAGACCTTACTTCAGCCAACTTTGGCGCTGAGACGCAGAAGGCTGGCCTTTTACTGGTCGAGTTCTTTGCGCCGTGGTACGTTTTGGTTGCTCATCCTCATCTTGGTCATGGTTGAACGCTTTGATCAATTAGGTGTGGCCATTGTAAAGCGCTCGCTCCTCACTATGAGGAAGCTGCAACGGCTTTAAAGGAGAAGAACATCACGTTGGCGAAGGTCGATTGCGTTGATCAGGCGGACCTTTGCTCAGAAAATGATATACAAGGTTACCCAACGCTGAAGATCTACAGAAAGGGGAAACCGACAGAATATGGAGGGCCTCGCCAAGCTGATGGCATCATCAGTTACATGACCAAGTGAGTGTCTTGGCGCCTACCCGCCTATGTTTTTCGTTTGTTGATGAGGGACTCCAGACAATCTCTCCCGGCCATCTCGACTGTTGCCTCTGAGAATCTCGAAGAATTCAAGGTCGCTGATAAGGTCGTTGTGCTTGCGTATGCTACTTCTACCGAAGAAGCCCCCATTCCTGCCTTCTCTTCCGTTGCTGAGACCTACCGTGACGATTACCTGTTCGGTTTAACAACCGATGAGGCGGCCATCAAAGCGGCTGGCGTCACCCCACCTGCTATCGTTCTTTACAAAAAGTTCGATGAGGGTCGCAACGACTTCCCTTCCGAGAAAATTGCTTCCGCGACGTCGCTTCTCTAGCCGACTGGATCAGATCCAATGCTATTCCTCTCATTGACGAGATATCTGGAGAAAATTACAACCTTTATGCAACATCTGGCCTCCCACTTGCTTATATCTTCATTGAACCAACCGACCCTAAGCGGGAAGAGCTGATCAAGGAACTCAGCCCCATTGCCAAAGAACGAAAGGGCGTCGTTAACTTCGTCTGGATCGATGCGATCAAATTCGTTGAACACGCAAAGTCTCTTGTTCTCACAGAGGCTAAGTGGCCAAGCTTCGTGATCCAAGACATCAAAAGTCAGCTCAAGTACCCATTGGATCAATCCACTGAGGTCAATTTCAAGACCGTCGATGAATTTGTCAAGAATTTTGTTGCTGACAAGTTACAGCCCAAGTTGAAGACCGAGCCTGTTCCCGAGGAGCAAACTGAGAAGTACTATAAAGTCGTCGGGGAAACCTTTGAGAAGGTTGTTTACGATGATGATAAGGACGTTTTCGTCCAGTTCTCTGCACCATGGTGAGCAAATATTACTTCCGTTTCGATCGGCCTATGCACTCAATGGATTCCAATTTCAGGTGCGGACACTGCAAGCGCCTACTGCCCACGTGGGAGACCCTTGCTGAAACCTACGCGGACCGCGCCAACCAAATCACCATGTACGTTCACTATCCACTGTTGTTCTGGAGATTGATACGACATTCTCCTTTCCCTCCCACAGCGCCAAGATGGATGCCACTGAGAATGATCTTCCTCCAGGAACTCCTTTCCACATAGCTGGCTACCCTACCCTCAAATTCAAGCCCGCAGGGTCTCGCGAGTTCTTTGACTACGATGGCGATCGTTCACTCGAATCTCTCATTGAGTTCGTCGAGTCCAAGGCGAAGAATGACCTGACGAAGCCAGTTGCCAAGACTGCTGATCCGGCGGATAGCGCTCAACGTCCTGCAGCTACGCTTCATGGAACAACATCAAGAATTATAAACCCTCGAAACGATTTGGGCGTTGCGTTTCTACACCCTTCCGTTTCATAACTGTACCCTGTTTGAACACCAATTTCCTTTGATGAAACTGGAGCTCTCCTTCTGACGGAATTATGGGCATTGTTCTGGACACCTATTACTAGTACGAAACGTGTTGCGCTGAAGGATTCCTACACTGTTGTGCTGGATCATTATGTAATCCGCTCGAATGGAATACTGCCAGCCTGATCTACTCTGACATAAATGGACTCAGTTGGGGGAAGTGCCGACTCTCAAGTTCAACACTGCTTTCCTCCCTACATTGATCTGCGACTGCGAATGAGGTGATGGTATCTCCGCAGACTTTCTGATGTCTAGACTGGGCTTGGCGTCGCTTCAGGCTCTACGCGATGCATTCAAGATAATGAGGAAAGTGAGACCAACGTAATGTGCGCGGAAACGCGTCGACGCCGTCGTGCCTCAACCACACCTCTTTCTCAGTTTTCGATTCCTCCTTCATGAATGGGCCACAACATTCGAAGGACTATCATTTTCGTCCTGTTGCATGCTTGCCTGAGTAGTCTTCTTAAAGCCGAACAACCATTGAGCCCGATCGCTGATCAGATTAAACGCGTACTGACTGCGAATGGTGTTGTATCTCATCGTCGTATACCTGGTTTTCTAATGGCACGCCTCTTGACATAGCGCCATTTTTAAACTCTCTCACCCGTTCGGTGAGAAGCCCTGGGTATCACCTCCAGGTTTCGTAATGTCACTCTCTGCACGAACGCTCGTTCTGGAAAAAGAGTGCTTCCAGAAAGCTATATCAGACTTACTTTAGTTCGGATCGATTGGATAGATTACCTTGTTATTCGTCTTGATTTTATCCGGCGTCCCAATCGCGCGTGGAGTGCCGCACACGCCACTTAATTCCGAAAAACCTTTAGGCCAGTGAATTCACTTTTTACTGCATGCCTCCTCGGTTTTTCCGTGGGCTTGAAAGACTGCTTTCCACTGTCATCTCCCACTTCACTTGAGGACACGTCCGGCGAATTGAAAAGAACTTTGATGACCAAACAGCATCTCTCGCCTTGGATCCGAATGCCTTGGAACGTTCCCTCGCCAACCATGTTAGCGCGATGGAAGCTCGACTTCGACAATTGATACCACCGTGAATGTGGACTTCGACATCACTGGAGTCGTCTCCGTGATCGGTGATCGATTCTTCACAGTAGTAACTAGATCCTTTGGTCCTCCTGTATGCCCCATCACCTCGCGCAAGTATTCTTCTGAACAGTATTACAGTCCCGTACTGAAAGAGGCCAGAATAACTCCATGGCCATCTCTTTCAAGAGCCTCCGGTGTGCGACAGCGTTTTCTCTCTGATCCACAAAGAGTTAGTCCGGAAGACCCACTTAGTCCAATCTTGCCGCAGCACACGAGAGTGCAACGTCAGAAGACTTAGCAGTGCAAATCGATTTACGCAAGATGGGGGAGGACATGCAGGGGAGAGGTGGTATCAAGACATAGCCGAAGGCCCCTTGGCCTTGTCTCACAATAATAATTATTGGCCTAGGAAGGCATGACCGATGCGAAGTTGTGCAAGGTAACTAAAACGTAAGGACTGTAATACGCAGCTAGCAGTCGCGATCACTGAGCACGATATCGATCGCGCGATACGATAGATATCGTGCCCCTTCGCGAGCAGGCCTGGCTTATATACATGATGATTATCATGTGGAAAACATGAAGAACAAAGCGTGAGGTCTGAAACCGAGCGCAGGCATTACAAAACATGAGTTAATAAGACAAAGCGTGAAACAAGCAACTTACAATTTTGGCTTACGTGCCTTGGTCCCGCCGGATCGGTAACTGGATGCCGTTGGCCAGTGGACTATTGTCTTGGACTGCTAACCCCAACAGGCACTTATTAGAGGAACACCGTTTAATGCAATTCCACGCCTAGTACTCCGATGGTTTAACTTGCTTCGGGCGTGTGTACCAGTATCTGATGCATTTATTTTTGAGTGGCACTTATGTATGAACGCTTGCCCTTTCGGAAGGGGATTAATGTGCCTTGCTTTGCCAGCGAATCAGCAAAGTCACCCACTTCATGTTCGAACGAAATTCCATTGCGCGTTCCTCGGTCCAAATAAAACCTCGGTCGAAGCTTTGTTATCGAGATCTACCACGTCGTAGATCTCATGGCGCCTATGTCTCTAGCAGTTCGTCAATTATTTGGCGGGCCATCACTACTGAGCTCCCTGAAGCTTTTATTGATGCGTCGTCAGTAGATGCCTGTTCATGCTAGTGTTGGATTTGCATTCACCGTCTGAATGTGCGCCACCCTAGGGATTTGCGCCAAATACCAGATAACCAGGAGGTTTTTCTCTCACCCGTGGACGATGTGACGTTCATAGTCGAAATCCTCGAGAAAGTTGAAGAAGATAATCTTTTAGAGGCGGCGAAGTACGTTCCCCATAAGCTCTTCTTTAATCGTTCAGCTGACTTCACAAGGTTCCACTTCGATTCGCTAGCGCATGACAATGATGCACAAAATAATAAATCCATAGAACAAATAATACCTTCGAGCGAACCCTCAACTCAGGAGCGTCCAGCTCCGATCCTCCTCAGTGGGACCCAGCGCATCAAAAAATTCAACCGAACAACAGCAGATGATGTCCTGATCCTTTTGGCTCTCTGGCGTCTAGACAAATATAACATCGATCTAGTGCTGAGCTGCAATATCCCCGTGAAGACTGACTCCCCTGAAACTACAATCGTGGGAGCCGAGGTAAACGTAGAGGAGACGAAATCCACGTTTGCCAAGGCAGTTGGATCATTCAAGATAGTTGATTTTGGCTTATTCGGGGCGAGAACGAACGTTAGGTCCCAAAGAAATTCTGCTAGGGGACACCCTGTATATCTTTCATACGCTGAAGATGTAATGTAATACAGCAACCCGCAAATTGTGATTTGATGGAGGTACGAGATTAAATTAGGTTTGTGTGCCATGGTGCCCCGGCACCAATGCTCTAGCTACCTTTTTCTCCTTTTGCGTTCGCTGTACGCTTGGGACTCTTACGCGTCCGCTGCACCGTACCCGTTGCGCCGTACCCGCTGTCAGCCTCACTGCCTCACTGCATGCTGTAACGCCGCGTCCGTTCAGTTGTGCTGATCAAGTGGATCCCTGCTCTCGCAGAATTTTGTCTTGCCCGTCTTCCCCTACTTGCTGTCTTCACACGCCCACCTTGGTTTCTCAGTTGTTCTTTTGTTTCTGTCACCCCAGCTAGCTGCAATGTCCCTGACTACCTGAAGAGTTCATCGGGGTATAACAAAACACACTGCTTGTGTACTTAGTATCGAGTCGTGTCGAGGCTCTTCGCTAGTCTTGTCGCAAGATCAGGCATGTATACGTCCTGCTTGAGCTGACGTTGTTCAATTTCATTCTGGGTTTCACCTAGTGACTTTGATCGTTCATCTTTCAAGAGCTTCGAACGGTGTCTTCGTGGACAATGTGTCTTTGAAATCCCGTATGTTCGCATATCATTGCATTCTTCATAATGTTACATACGCGTTGAAAGGTGTATGGGTTCCTCTCAGTGGTGTTCCAATGTCTACCCATAGATATTCTATGATTTGCCCTTGTGCATGGTAATCTGCAAAAGCGTAAGCAACATCCGTCGTCATCTGTCTTTTTTGGATAACTTTCGTATCTCCATTTTGCATAGTATATAGTGATTTCCATCGCGTTGAATTATCGTCGATTCGCCCAGTTCTTCTATTTGAGGTCCACGATACCTCTCCAACTCGACGACAGTGTAACTGGGAGGGAACTTCATGTCTTGGACACCACTGGATGTTGGTGTTTCTTCTCAGCGATCCGCCCATATCCCTACTATTTCACCTCGAACTCCATTTGCGATGTCCATGTCTGTGTCCAGGTTCGTGGTTGTAATCACCTTGCATCTAAAGGCTAATTCAACCACTTCTGTGAGCCCACCTCGATAGAGTAGCATTCGTGTTGGTTATCTCGGAGATGGTCCCAAACCTCGTGATGACTTGGCAAACCTTTCCGCATTTCCATTCAAACGTGCCCTCTGTAAGCACTATCCTCCCCTCTGGTCTAATACATGATTGACTGATCTTCATGCATCCAAAGGACTTTTGTACGCCATGTACCCTCTCTGTGTACAACGTAACACCCTACCAGCCGGAACGCACACACCTTCATCTCCCGTACCGTAACGTTCAATGTAAATAGCGTGGATTGGTTCGTGTAACAATGCTTGGATCGAATGCTGTGCAGGTGACAGCGATGCAGAGCACGTACTGTAGTGCATATATTGGTGCAATACTTGTAGCAGGCAGAAGTCGCAAATACGTGAGGATTGCGCGCGGAGTCAAACACTTGGGACAGCTTAATAAATATAAATTAGAGCCTGCGACTGAAGCTCCTAGTGAACCGCGTCTGAGGAATCCAGCCACCGTACTAAGGAATGGGCAGTTCTTGAGCAAAAGTAGTTCGCCTTGAGATGCTCCCGACTACGTTCGCAAGGAAACCACTTGTCTGGAATATCTTTCATATCCTGGACTTGAATTCTGCGACCTTGGAGACGGGGTGATGGGTAACAGTTCTTGCTCAATCAATCCCCTAGATCTAACAGCATACAACGTCGTCGTAATGATCGTCCTTAGATATACATTTCTACCGCAGAGGCTTCCAACCGATTGAACAACAAAAGAACCGTCAATTGTCACCAGTCGAATTTCTTCCCTGTTTTCGATACCGGGACTTCGGGGACTCGTCCACCACCTTTGGCATACCCAAAGCCGTCGAGCCAGGGCCACACCTCGCTCCGTTTCTCCTCGAATTTCTTGATGAACTCTTGCTTTTGCAACGTTAAACCAATACCGTCCAGACCGTTCAGTAAACAGTGACGCTTGAAGGAATCCACTTGGAACGGGATAGCGGGTTCCTCACCATCGCGTCGAACTTCGCATTTCTCGAGATCGACCTCGAGATGCTTTCCGGAACGGGCATGATCGGCTATTTCTTACACTCTTCAGGTGGGAGGGTGACCGGAAGCATGCCATTCTGCATCATGTTGCTCTTGAAGATTTCAGCAAAGGATGGGGCGATCACGGCTCGGATACCAAAGTCATTCCTGATAAGTGCATGATCTTCAGTCATCCGCAACTCAGAAAGGTGTGACGTAAATCGCTTACAAACTCCACGGCGCGTGTTCACGGCTGCTGCCGCACCCAAAGTTTGGCCCAGTGCACACGAGAATGACCGCCTTGTCATACGGTGATCGATTGAGAACAAACTCCGTTGCCTCACCAGTCTTTGGATCCTTCCTTAAAGTATGGAATAGGGCGTCCCCTAAACCAGTACGCTTTAGCGTCTTGAGAAATTGTTTAGGGATGATCATATCGGTATCGACGTTGGCAATGTCCAGTGGCGCAGAGACACCTTTGACAATGGTGAATGGGGGAACGGCTGACGAAGTCGCGGCAACTGATACAGAATCAGTTTCTGTCGAGTTCGCTCTAGCCGCCGACGCTGCTGCTGACGGTGAATCCGAGAGGGGCACAGGCTTAGGTGGGGGTAGCACCTCATCCGTGAGGTAATCGAACGCGCTTGTCACTTTGAGCTTCGTTTGATCCAGATTTGACCCCTTCTTCAAGAATATGCGCACATCCGTCAACTTCCCGGTGAGAGCAGCGGCGGCAGCCATCGCAGGGCTCATCAGATGAGTGCGGCCTCCCGCCCCTTGTCTTCCTTCAAAGTTTCGGTTGCTCGTACTGGCACAGCGCTCGCCAGGTGAAAGTTGATCGGGATTCATACCCAAGCACATCGAACAGCCAGCCTCTCTCCAGTCAAAGCCAACACGCTTGAAGACAGCATCCAGGCCCTCTGCCTCAGCCTGTTGTTTGATGAGGCCAGAACCGGGAACAATCATGGCGTGAACGTTGCCTGGAACTTTGATGGATGGATCAGCAGAAGTGGCTGCGATGATGACTTGAGCAGCACTCCGCAAATCCTCGATGCGACTGTTAGTGCACGAGCCAATGAAGATCGTGTCGACGTCAATATCTTGCATTGGTGTGTGCGGTATGAGGCCCATGTAAGCCAGCGCCCGTTCGGCGCCGGATCTCTTAATAGGATCAGTAAAGGAGGCAGGGTCCGGGACAACTCCAGTGATCGGAACGACATCCTGAGGCGAGGTCCCCCATGTGATGGTAGGAACGATATCTTCCGCGCGTATGTTCACTTCAATATCAAACTTAGCGCCTTGGTCCGATTTAAGCGTGCGCCAATATGCCACGGCGCGTTCCCATTCTTCCCCCTTGGGTGCGAGCGGACGGCCCTTAAGGTACTTAAACGTAACTTCGTCGGGGGCAACCATCCCGGCGCGAGCACCAGCCTCGATACTCATGTTGCAAACGCTCATTCGGGCTTCCATGCTCATCTCCTCGAAAACATTCCCCGCGTACTCGATGACGCAACCGGTGCCTCCAGCTGTCCCAATTTTCCCGATAATGTGCAAGATAACATCTTTGGAAGCGCAACCGGGAGGGAGGGTTCCATTGACCTTTATTCGCATGTTCTTTGATTTCCTCTGCAAGAGAGTTTGCGTAGCAAGGACGTGCTCGACTTCGGAAGTGCCAATCCCGAAGGCAATCGAGCCGAAGGCCCCATGTGCTGAAGGGGGAATGATCACTTTGAGTATTGGGCAGATATAGGAGCAACATACTTGAGGTATGTGAGTCGCCACAGACACAGGTAGTGCCAGGGAGCTACGACAATATAAGTGTGAGCACCTGAATTTTGGATAAGTGATGGTCCACTCACTGTGAATCCTTGCTCGGGACCAATGATGTGGACAATACCTAATCAAAATACCGACACAGATGAACAAATGCAGAGCCTTGCTAGAAGCGGTGATCATACCTTGTCTTCTGTCTGACATCCCAAAATATGTCAAGCCAAACTCTTTGACATTTTCCTCAAGTGCAACACACTGAGCGCGGGACTCTGGCTCGTCGATGAAAGTTTTCACGTCAGTAAAGTTTTTGCGGGAGATAGTTCTAACAGGTCAAAACTAGTATTGGCGTCAGTTCTCTGGAGGCTTGAGGGTGAAGGCTTACGGAACATTGTGATCGACGGTGGCTAATGTACAATCGGGCCTGCGTACTGGCCGCCCAGCGGTTCGGCTTCAAAGCGAACTTGAATGAGAAATCCACTGGAAAATGTGTTATATACCCACAGGCCTTCGAAGGCTTGGGGACTCGTAACTTCGTGTACAAGGTGACTAGAGCGCGGGGAAGTCGATCGATTTAAGTGCTAACAATGTTTGTTTCTCACCGATCGATGTAAATGAGCGTCTCCCCACTCTCTTGCTGGTGTCTGACCCAGTGCCTCAGTACAACGACATTGTCCAACATGCTTAGTCCAACTCACACGACATGGTCGTCCCAAACCTTATCGTACAGTGTGCGAGGTGCTGGAGCTGGGGCTGGCATTTGGAGTTCTTATTCGATAGGGGGCTAGGGAGAAGATAAAAGGAGAATGGACAAAAAGGGCCCGATGTCAGGGATGTTATAGCTTGGGGAAACTGGTCAAGCTTCGGCCGATCGGAGGGCCCAGAAGTGGTCACCTGACACAACAAGTTGGTGTCGACAAAGCCCCTGCATGTCTACCGCCACAAGGTTATGGCCTGTCATTTCAATATACCGGTGTGCAATTAACTGATATGTCCTGTCCGAACCTGCGACCCGAATGTAAAAATAATGTTGGGCCCCGGCTCCAATTACATGTCCCCTGATTGGTTCTGTTCGCTTCAGCAACACTGACGTTTCGGAGCGTGCCAAGGCTCTCACGGTAGCTTGGTTGGTGGTGATCGTGGACACATTGGTCTATTTCCGCCACGCAATCCACATATGTGAAGGTGAGCTTCAAGTTGCTCGGAGCAAACCGCATTAGCGGGTCATCGGAAACGTGGGAACCATGACCTGATCCGCTCTAGCAATCCGCGGAACGGTATCCTTGGGCAATGTTCCCATGTATTCGTGGGAAAGATCCTTCTAGTGTCGAACTTGCCCTATCGTGGTGCCACAGCGTGCCCCCCCATTCATCCCCCTTGGATGCGACTGGTCTCGCCTGGTGCAATTATCCCACCGCGAGCACCAGGCTCGACGCTGATGTTGCAGACGCTCATTCTGGCTAGAATGCTCAGCTCCAAAACATAAATTTTCCGATTGAGCCGAGGGCGCCATGTGCTGGAGGGAAATGATCGCTGTCAAGTATATTGCAAAAGGGGTCAACATACGTGTGACTCGCTGCAGAGAGCTCTGTAACTAATAGAGAAAGCCTTAAATGCATTCTTTCCAACAATTGCGAGAATACCAATGAATAGTAGTGTCTGGCGGGGCCTAAGCGCTAAGCGGTTGGGAATTGAATTGTATTTCACTAAGTTATGACTATTGACGGTGCTGTCATCTCTATCCCAATAGAGGCTGGTAACCTGCCTAGCTGTCATCCACATTATACATTGCTGGCATGCCTGCTTTCCGCTCTAGAAACCTATTGTACTTACGTGTTGATACGCAAACTATCCTTCCCGTGTTCCTGCATCTGGACGACCAGAACGGACACACGGAGTGGATGACTCAGAGCACACTCGAACAAGTGGTAGAAGATATGCGGTACCTGTATGGCCCGACTCTCTAGGACAATGCTCCAGACAAAACTGATCGAGCGTCCCTACGCTGAAGCATAGGTCCAAAGATAGAGGCTGAAGACCGCGCGGCGGTCGCTCCTGGACCTTCATCAATGAAGAAGACTTCTGGGGTTGATGTATTTCGTGGAAGTGAGTATGGCGAAACGTTAATCTCTGCGAGCATTGCTCATGTTTTATGGGCCCGGGCCTTCCAGAAACGTATCAGTTTGGCTACTACCTCGAGAAAGCGGATCACCACACTATTTTAATCAAGGTGGCTTATTTCACCCCCCCCCCCCCTTTGTGAAAAGCCTGGCAAACCAAAACGTCTTGATTCGCAGCATCAGTCGTTTGTCCCTGCTGCTCCACTTGTGTCAGCGAAGCCTGCCGTAACTGCTAGTGTATCTCCTAGAGCATTCCAGCCTACTAGGGAGAGTGGGTTGGTATCCAGCACTCAGGGGAAGAAGCGAGCCCGTCCTCAGAGTCTTGAAGTCGACGATCTTGATCAACAACAAAGCCGAGAGCAAACTGAGGTTCACCTCGTGCCTACCCCTTTGCAACCTCGTCGGTCACGACGTACTAAATCTAGGGTCGCCAACTATCAAGAACTCAGCGATTCAGAGCAACAAAGAGGCCAGCCGGGAGATGAACTAGGCTCCTCCAATGCCCGCCAATCATTCCAAGAACCCGGTGAAGATGATGGATATGAGGCAGAAATAAAGATGGAACGTAGTGACCACGATGACATCCTACACTACCCTTCTTTGTCCAATCCTCTGCCAAGCCCATTTGATGTCGATGACAGTGATAACGAAGATGCAGCCGACAAAAAGAAGCTTAAGCTGACTACGTCGTACACGGGCTTCACAATATCAAAGTACAAACTCTGCTTGATCGTACAGCCCTATCCACCACTTCCGAAGCCAGGTTTCACCTCTAAGTCTCCCGGAACGCAACCATCGCGGGTGCGAGATGCTCCCGCCTCATCGCTCCTGCCAAGTCGCCAAGCCCACCTGGCACCCTTCATTCATTTATCACCCACCCCTGGCCCACAACCATCAAGACGGCGCACCCCTCTCTTTCGCGAGCCCAGTATGACACCCGCACCGGATACTGTATTGCAAGAAACCTCTCCGCTGAAGGGCCTGACCATGAGCCTGGGGGATTCGTTCGGGCCATCCGAGGGCCTGAACGCAGCGGATAATGAGCTTGAGAACCTCATGGAGGTTACCCAATCGTTCAGTTTAGCTTCGGGAACTATGGAACGCATGGGTGTCCCTATGTATGCGGGTGGCATCAGTGCAAATGTAGATGCGGACGAGGACGGTTGGCTCATGGGCGACGCGGATGAAAGAAACGATTGAGTCACGACGGCATGAAACCACTTCGCAGAATGTGAATAGCGAGGATAATCCTTCACTTTCCTAGACCAAATTGAACACCTGGAGGCCTGCAGTCCAGGGGATGTGTTCGGTCATGCTCAGATACGTCGAATTTGATGCTGTGCTCCTAAAGTGGCGCCTGTCACATAATCTACCAGTTATTCATTGTCATGACTGTAATTGAGTGGTACAGAGCACCAGCTGGCTGATAGAAAAACTGTGTCTAGCGGCGAGATCTGATGGGGTTTTCCTATTTTTTTCTACACTGACGGGATGAAATCCCGTACTGAGTTTCTTCACCTGATGCACCAGGTGTCCCATGTGGCATTATGTGGATCGCGGTTGGCCAAGAAGTAACATGAATCTGCGGTTTTCACTCTGAGGTGTCCCACACGATGAATAAACCAGTGAAGCGATGAGGTACTAAGATATATGAGATCAGATACAACTGCCCTGAACTTGAGATTTGGAGATGAGGATCTCCCTGTAATGAATAATAAATGATAGATGCACATCGCTCCTGCTTCGAGGGCATCATTCTTCATTGAGGAGGTGTGGTATGCGGAAGCGGGAGCTGGGCATTGCCACCGTCAACATCACTGTTGAGCAAATCTTGAGTGGTATCGCCACCGGATGGAGGCAGAGCGGCTGCCAGAAGACAGGATGGCGGACGGGGGTCCGGATGCTCTCTCGGGGTGTGCGTTGTCAAAGGGGACAGATTCAAAATTTAAACGGCAGCCGAGCATACCCAACAGCAGACAACTTGCGATTGGTTATCGTGTTCGTATCAGATTCTTCCTTAAAAACAACAACAGCCACACATCCTAACCCCAAGATACGGAATCTCTGCAAGTCTGTCAGGCGTTGAAAGGGGAATGGGGCTACCGGAAGTCGCTGAGCGCCCTTCAATATCAGAACGGCGCGTTTGTGGAATCTCCGCATACTGAACGAACGCATTGAGTCGAGGGATGCGCTCGAACTTAGACTTGTTGATGGGAGGGGATGCCTCCAAGTTTCTTTGAAATCCTTATAGTCCGGCAAAGGGCTACATCTCATGGAGGTTGTCCAAAGTGCTGGAGTCCACATCATTCTGTCGAGCTGGAATTACGTAAGCCATGGAGTTCAGGACAACATTCGTAAACAGTATCAATTCGGAGCATTGCCAGTGGGGAGGTTCCGCTGTTGCCTCGTTGCAGGCACGGCTGCCTTCTGCTCCCAAATCCTATCCAGATATCATGCAGGCTGAGCTTCAAGCTACTCAGAGCAACCGCAGTGTCGGTCAGCCATCAGTGCATCGAAAGCCTGGGAACCATGTTGGTGCGTGACTTGATTAGCATATGAATTGCCAGCCAGCTGTCATCAGACTCCTGACGACGGCGCTTGACGCAGCAATTTCTCGGCGACGTGGTGCACAGACGCGCCTAAGTATGGATGATCGACCTGACGCTGACACGTTATCAATGCTAGAGTACTACCATTCTAAGGCGGCTGCATCTGGGTTTGGCGCACTCTACTCTTCCTCATCCTCGTCCTCAGATGACATCAGGTCGTCTTCATCGGATAGCCAGTATTCCCGCGGAGAAAGGTCAAGGTCCCCTTCACCAGCACGGAACAACAACGGCAACGACGGGGACAAGGCTGACAGAAAGAGACGATCATCTATGGTGACCGTTCGCGGCGATGCCAATGCGGAAATATCTGTCCTGGCTTCGCAGTCAGTTTCAAATGCCCCTGGCGGTGCTATTAAACGTCGGCCCAGCGCTCGCGCAGCTCGAAACGCAGATAACCGCAGACTCGCAATTATGGAATTGAACTCTGCACCGCCTTCTGAACACACTTCATCGCTGGACAATATCATGTCGGGTCAGAATCAGATACGGTCACTCAACAGAAACAACTCATTATCTTCAAGGCGAGGTATGATGCTCAAACTTCATCAATCAGGTATTCGCAGAAACAGACGCTCAAGCAATCCACGTGTTGTGAATCCAGGTATGCATCAGCCTCGTGTAGCGCTCGTGGCACCGCCAGATGTAGCACCTTCATCCTATACGAATTTGACCCCATATCCGGCCCATCGAAGTGGCACTCATGATGATATTCCCACTCGCCCCTATCTCGCCCATCGACGCGCAAGAAGCCATGAGCCAATATCTTTCTCCACTCCTGAACTTCAGCCTGCTTATGAAGGCAGAGGAGATGCGGAGCAGAAGCCGCAATTTGCGCTTGAAGCGAGCCGACCGCGCGTTACAGCACAGCACGAGATGACACATGCGAGCACGAGGCCGGAGTCGGATTCCCGCGAGACTCTTTATAGTGCTGACGTCGACGAAGCTTCGTCTTTTGAGCCTCCGGTCATAGAGTCGCTTGTTCAGACCGCGGACCTTCCGCACCCTCAACTCTCGGAGTCCCCATCATTACAATCAGGGTTGGAGTGGGTCACAACTTCACCTTCCACCGACACAGTAGTCCAAAGCAAGGACGCAGACACGGAAATCGCCAGCCCGGTGATCCATACCTTGCAGATGGCTTGGCCAGCAACCAACCTTCAACCGCAGCCTTTCCAGATAACTTATGGCGGTGCACCTCCAGTTAGTGCAACAACACACACCCAAGTGTCACGGGCGTCTCCTATCCCTACGTTCTCTCCGGACATGCCGTACATGTTTTTCGATTCAGCTCTTCACGGTGCTGCTGGACCACCACCTTCCCTTCCAAAAGCTCTTCAGCCACCCCGCCGGTCCCCTGCTCCAGGATCATTGCTGTCCTCTGCGCCAGCGCCCGCCACTTCCACATCAGTGCAAGCAGCAGGTGTCCCAATAATGTCATCGCCGGCGGCGAACACACCAGTGTCGATATCATCCGCTTCGACGTCCCCTGAGACCATGATGTTGACAGTCCCCCTGGTCCCTTCATCGCCTGCCCAAATAACTGGACCACCGGCACACTACCAACAAGAAACTCGACCATTTTCTACTCCCCTGACTACCACAATGAATCATCCTATTACACCAATCTCTCCACCTCCCCGTCCTCCCCGTATGTCCTCCCCTCCTAGGAAAAACAACTATCCCGATCTTGCCCAAAATTACCCATCAATCCATGGTGTCCAACTGTCTCCGGCGGCGCCTAGTGAGATGCAGTCTATCGTGTCTGAGGCTATCCCCCAGTCTCCCATAGAGCTCGAGTCTCCACAAGCCACTCAAATCCAAGTTCGCCACACAAGACAGCGTACCTCATACGATAGCGGCAAATCTAGTGTGAGATCTCGACCTCTTCCTACGCCACCTACGGTCAATCGATCTTTATCACAAGGTTCTGTGGTAACTTCGTCATCCGTTCGTTCCCAGACAACACGGCTCAGCGGTATGAGCGATTCTATTTACAGCAATAGTTCGCATCCAACGCGGCGAGTATCGGATAGTGCATACGATGATGATTTCGTGAGCCAACAGATTGAAGGTCCAAAAACGTTTGTTTTATTTGCTTGCTTAAACGACACTCCCTGCTGACTATTGTTTCTAAGTCCTCCGGGCGATGATCCCATTATGTTTTCATCTCCGGAGAAGATTTCCTCGTTATCGTCCTCACCACCCTCACATAACCACTTCCGTGAACCTTCCAGCGTCATATCCTCTAATCCTCCTTCCCCTCCACCAAAAGAATTACCCGCCATACCTATCGCTCCGCTCTCTCCAACCCGGGGAGATACCATTGATGACCTGGTTGCTGTGGTGGATGATGCCATGGATGACATGGGATTAAACAGTGTGGCGCCCTCATATGCTGCGCAAGCCTCTTGGTACGAAAACGATAACCCTCCCGATTCCAGCGAACCCACTGTTGAACTTCGTCAATGGGATAGCTCCAGTAGCCTTGATACCAGCTCTTACGTTCATGCGCAAATCACGGATGCAACGAGTATCTCTAGGACCTCTTCCCGTGAAGCGTGCAATGATCGGACGAATACACTATCCATGACCAGCGTCCACACACCTCCACCTACCGGAGGTTCCGATCAGGACCATTCTAGTGGACGTTCAGCAAAATCTAATCGTTTCTCAGCACTTAAGAAACGCGCTTCCTCGTTCTCCATGGCTTTTCCGCTTCAGCGCGCCAGCCTTCACTCGAACGAAAGCTCTTCACCTAAACCACTCTCCATGCAGCCATTACCCTCTCCCCCACCGGAGAAGTCCAAGCGACTGATAAGGAAGGTGGTAGGCTGGCCACAGGCAATGGAGTTCCAGAACGTTCTGAAGATGCGCACCGCATTGGATCGTGCGGCTGGGTACGCTGAAAAAATTAATGAGCTTGCGGCTGAGGATTGTGGGCTTGAGGCCTGGATTCTTGGTCTCAATCAGAAGAAAAAAGGTAGAGACGCTTACTCCACTGATTAGACTTGAGTCTAACTCATAGTTTATTTGCAGTGGGCCGATCTCGCCCTGCTGAAGACAATGAAAGCGATACACTTGGCCCATTATCATCGTTTGCTCGCCCAGGTGGTGCAAAACTTCGTCGTCGAATGTCCCACATGTCCCGTACTTCTACTAGGACTGAAATGACTTTTCCTATACGTGCAGACGCTTATTCCGCCACTAATCTACTCCATCGCTCCGAGGAATCTGGGCCTGCGGTTTTCCCCCCTAATCTTCCTTACCCATCTCTCGTTTCGGCGAAAGCCCATTCAACTGGTCAGCGGAATGGAGGGAAGGGCTTCTTTGCTGCAATCGGAAGGAGGGCTAGCGTAAAACGAGAGCGACCTCAGCCCTCACAACCCAGTTACCGTCCACTAGCCCATCCCCCGAAGGGCTCATTTGCCCCACCGCCGAGGTCCATTGTTCTAGAGAAGGTGCCAACTCTCCCTGGTGGACCACGCGCAATTCCGAGGAGATCGAGCGTGCCCGTGACATCGATGCCATTGTTATTCGGGAACATGAATGGCTCAATGCCAGGATCATCGTTCGTCGGCGCACGGCTCAAGAATGTTCATCAAGGGGGAAGCGGGCTACGATATTAGTGTCATTACTGCCTTCACTGTTTGAACCCCAACTTCGTTCTCATATCAACCATGCTCATGTACCACCGGTTTCTTCCGCAAGCTTCATCTTGTATCAATGATTTATTACGTCGTCAAAGTATGATATACATTGGGAGGATAATCGGGTAACTTTGTACAACAGTGCCATCTGCTAACAATGTGATTGGCGTTCATACGTCCCTAATCCCGAGGCCTCCTAGAGTTGGTGCATATTATCCTATTCTAATGAGCGTAAGAGGCTGGTCTGAATCCCGTACCCGCGCGATTGGGGGGTTGTGCAAAAACGCCTAAAGGTAATGAAGCCCCCCATTATGGCGTACGAGCTGTGTGAAGGATGCATATATCGCTGACCTCTTTTGGTATTGGGGGCTGCTGGCATAGCAAATCCCTCAATCCCCGATCTGTACGATGGACCTTGCTGGTGCGGTGGTGGAGGGAAATGTTGTTGTTGTTGCTGCTGCTGCTGACCCTGTTGGAAGTGGATCGGTGGTCGTGTATGCTTCGCAGTCAAACGAGAATCCGAATCTGAACCAGAGTCCGAAGGTGCACCGAATTGTCTTTTCGACGCATGCTGCTCTCGTGATATTGGCTGATCCAATATGGGCTGTTGCTGTGGTGGGGCTGGAGGGTAGTTGGCAGGAATTGCGTGACCATTGCCATGCAAGACACTTCGGCGGTGCAAATCATTTGTGCCTCCTGGATTGAAATGACGAGGACGGTTTAGGGAAAGAAGCGAAGCGGGATTTTGCTGGTTTGCATGCCATGAGCCAAGAGCACCTGGAGGCTGGCGAATAGGCGTTCGCTGGATCTATGAAGGTCATCATAAGATGGAAGCGGTACCGGTATTTCGGAAAGATGATTGATTGACATCAACTCGTGCCTTGTTAGCATCCATACCGTTGACGACTTCGCCCATATTGCCTTGATTGGAGGCTCCAGCATGCATACCCGATACTCCAAGCTGATGCAAACCTGCACGGAGCCTGGATGAGTTAGTATTCATAGTTCCGTGAAGGCCTGTCCCATCCGCGGCCGCTGTCGTCGATGGAAGCATGACTCCGGCATGGTTGGACTGATACACATGCTTCTCACTGGCATCCGCATTCTGGGCAGCTGCAGAGAGTGACGTCGAGCCGAGAAGCGCTTTCCGTTTCATCTTGTCAAGCTGGCCTTTGAGTTTTTGATATTCAGCGTCCTTATCTTTCGCAGCATCCATTAAGTCACGGTTCTTCCGTCTTTCGACCTCCAAGTCGCGTTCAAGTGCTGGACAGTACACGGTGATCGGCATGCATGTGAACAAAATAAGGAACACGTTGCCACGTACCCGCAACTTTCGTATTGAGTAGACTTAATTCGGAGTTCGCTGACCGAAGGGGAGCAAGTCTGTTCAGATACACGCGACAAAGCACGCGACTGATTACGGCACCTTCTCGAACTACATTCTCTAACTGCTTTTGCATCTGGGCATTCCGTTCGTTGGCGTTCCGCAATACGGCTTGCTGGAACGAGCTAAGAAGATGTGTCACACACTGCTCAAGGATGTCCATATTTAGGGGACCTCTCTTGATGTATCTGATACTGCCAGAATGACATGGCCCTAGATAAAAGTTTCGAAAGAGACGAAGAGCCGCAGTCGCAAACACAGATACCGACCGAGAGCATATTTCCAGAATGATCGTTGGGCTCAGACCAGACAGAATTGACTAGTGCACGTATTAGAATGATTCGAGTGCGGAGAGAACAAGCACACAGTTTTGTAGTCATTAGTAGGATGAAGAGAGCATATCTACGCGTAGGACGCGTCAAATCCTGCGCAAAAGTCCTCGCTTTCGCAGATGACGCACTACAACATCGTCAGGTTGATCCAAGGTGGTCTCACACGCTGCACAGACGAGAGTAGGTGTAGAGAAAATCCCATTCGCACACTCTATGCAGAAGATATCTATATATGTTCAGCGCATCAACACTGACCCTGAAGAAGAAATATAATGTCGGCGCGGCCCTACGTGAGCAGGTGGTAACAACAGCCTGCGGCATGACATGAGGTGCTTAAGCCATGGATACAGGCTGGCCGGCGCACCTTTTCGGTAAGCAGCTTTCTACAGGCTAAACGATTGCAGTGAAGCTCGTCCATTTCGCTAAATTTCAATTGCAATCGGTGTCGGTCAACACAAGTACATACAAACGTATAACCAAATATGTAAGGTATAATTATCAGAATCAATACGGCAACACTAACAATCATCCATGTTGATGTCAGAAGGGACTTGGACTCGTATAATGTTGGACAAATCATCCGGCTCCAGTATATTCTGGCCTTTCGTGCCATCTTCAAACTCGGCGTTCAGCAAGGTCTCCATTAGCACATCATCTAGTTCGTCTTCGTCTCCGCCGTATTCTTCATCAGACTCTGACGGGCCAGCTTGCCTGGAGGGTTCAAATGAGCATAAAACAGATGAGCCGAGCAGACGATCTCACATGAATGCGAGGATCGCACGGTCTCGCTCGCTAGAGGAAAGTGCGTCCCATCGTGATGCACGAGGTAAAATTTTCTCTTCCCATGCATTCCGAGACTGTCCAGTCCGCTTTTGACGAGCCATAGCTTTCTCTGATTCTGCTTGCTGAAGTCTGATAGCTTCGCGATGATCGAGCGTCGCGGTGCTGTGTGTAGAAGACTTGTGGGTCTGCCCACGCTATTCATACCCGCCATCAGCAACCTATCCTCATATAAAGACACTGTGCCTTCATTTAACGTACCATAACAACGGGCGAATTTAATATCCGCAACTTCGTAGATACTGGATCTCGTGATGTTGATGGGCCTTCCCCTTGTCCATCCGCCATGGTGGCGTCTTCGCACGGTGGCGTGGGCACCCTGGCATAAGGATCAATGTGGGTGTTCCTGAGATTTGTTTCGACAGTGCGCATACTCGTCAGATGGCGCAACCGCGCTTCGCACTCGGCTCGACGTGACTCAAGCTTTGGTCGAAGAGCGGAAGAACACCTAACGGACCGCTACGGACTCAGGAGCATTCAACATTTAAGCAACCAGGTTACTTACGTAGCTAACAGAGCCTCCGTCTTGTGCAACGTCTCCGTTAACTCTGATATGTCATCGATCGAGCTAATAGGTTTCGCTTGGTTTCGTGAAGGCAAGAAGCCTGGGACATAACTCTTCGAGACGCTCCGTCTTCGTTGCATTATCCTTTCAAAAAGTGTGAAGGTGCCCTCCCGATAGCTGCGCCGCTAAATGACCATTGAGCTGATCACGAGACTCCATGATCGTACTCTTGGGACCGGCAACGTCGCATTAACTTTGTGGTACCACGTGATCTAATTTGCGTGCAGAAAGTCTTTCTCCCGATCCATCATCTCAACAACACTTTTCACTATCAGAAAACATGTAGATAGTCTCTAATCGTCAATATCTCATAGGTTCTGGCTGTTGGAATCACCGATTTCATATGCTCTATCAGCATTGTTTTCTCTGACCGGACCAGGCATATCGATTGCACGTTTGGTGGCCACAACTAGGGCCACCTCTTTGTCCACTTCCCTGGTCATTCGGATCTTTGGGGGGATTTGTTTATGAAGCCACCTACAAGCATCTAGTTGCTCATCCAATATCTTGCCAGTTACCTTCTTTCCTGCGACATACCCCATTTTTCCCACTCCAAATCATTCCATAGAACCACCACACCTAGAAAATCTTCCTTGCATCTGGCTTTCTCTGCCCTTTCAGCCTCCTTCCTCCGATTTCAGTGTTTTTTCTTGTTGTTTTGTGTGGGAACTTCCAATGAATTGAAATATAAGGTGCCAATGACATATCCAGCATGAAAAAAAAAATTGTCTGGTTTGTACTCTTCTTTAATGTTACACGATGACCTTTTCTATATATCACTAAACCCCAAAGGTGCAGTAGAGGGAGTTACATCCCCTAACATTTTACCCTTGCTTCGAGACTATGAATTTCTGCATGTGACTGTATCACAGCAAGCCTATGGCTTGCCAACCCCCATTAATACTCTGCACAGAGTCATACACCCTAATGTAAATAAGCACTATATGCGCGGTCTCAGTCTCGAACAAGAGAACTGATTTATTGTTCCTTTACCTATATGTGCAGTCTGTAGATACAGTCAGAATTCGCATACAAGGAATAAAGTAAATAAAAGGATATCACCTCAGTCTTGAACAAGAGAACTGAGGGGGTGTGAAAAATTTCCGTGCACAGTGTGTTTTATACACCTAGTGCTAATATCACTTATAGCGACTGCCTGCTATAACTGGCAATGAAGAGGACATCAAGACAAAAGGTATATACGATATCCTCAATTGATATCACGTCAGTAAAGAAAATATTAGTACGCATGGACATTGATATTCCAATACGCCCACTCAATGAACATTGGCGTTAATGATTCCCATCCCTTTGGTGAACTTCTCATGTTTGATCTGTGCAAGTCCTTTGGTGAGAACGTCAGCTACTTGATCAGCCATCAGGATATAGTCAAGATCCACATCACTGTTGTTGATGCACTTGCAGATGAAATGCTGCCTAACATGGATGTGTTTCATGCGCACGTGGTAAGCAGGGTTGATGGCTAAGGTGAGGGCACCTTGATTGTCACTGAGAATAGTATGAGGAATAGAGCGGGATTTGAGAACATCACCAATAAGTTGTTGAATCCATATTGCCTCCTTGGCAGCATGGGTAAGCGCCATATACTCCCCTTCCGTGCTGGACAATGCAGTGGAAGACTGCTTCTTCGAACTCCAGGACATGGCAGCTCCAGCGATTTTGAATACAAAGCCAGAAACAGATTGGTGGTCACATGGGTCACCAGCCCAATCAGAATCGGAGTAACCTGTGAAGTTGTTATTGCGAGCTTTACCATTGTAAACCAACTTGTAGTTTTGTGAATAGTTAAGGTATCTGAATAAGCAGTTGACAGCGATAAGGTGTTCCTTCCCAGGATTGGCGGAATATTGACTCAAAGCACCCACTGCATAGGCGATATTGGGATGTGTGCCAAGCATCGCGTACATAATGCTGCCGATTTGTGACTGATAATCGCGGATGTCAACTTCAGGTGAATCAAGTTGGGGCAACTTGAAGTTAGATGCGATCGGGGTAGAGATTGGATGACAATTAGTGAAATGGAAATGAGTGAGAATATCCTTGACGTAATGGGTTTGGGAGATGTAGATCAAGCGTGTCAGGGCACACACCCTGACTAGCCCGGACCCGGACCCGCGTCCGGACCCGCTTCCACCCACCGCGCTTCCTGCATGCGTGCACGCTCCGTGCGCTGCATGCTCCGGGCCCGGTTCCTACCCTTCATGTGACTTCCGGGTATCCCCGGAAGTTTTCCTGATATGGTGGCCACTGTGGGAAGATGAGAAGTTAGCTTCCTTCTCATCTTCTTACCCACAGTAGGTTGTGCCCTGGATAGGGCTGGTTACACCAGTAGACTGTGGACCATAGGGGAGGGTCATGGGGGCCCAGGAGTTGTCCCCTGACAAAGTGCCAAGCTCGATCGTGAGTAATCTCGAGTCCTAGAAACCAGTGAATCTCTCCAAGATCCTTCATCTTGAATGTTTTCATAAGCTGGGACTTCTTGAGATTAAGAAGGTTGAGGTTGTTAGAAAGGATCATGAGATCGTCAACATAAAGGTGTCAGGGACGCGTCTGGGGTCGAGGGGGCCCGGGTATAGTGCCTGGCGCTGAGGACCTTGCAGGGGGTAGATCGGGCGTGCATACTGGCAGGCCCGATATGGGACAGCTGTCCCTGGCCACTCAGACTGAAGTGGAAAAGGTGAATTGTTATTGAAAAGGGAAACTACACTAACTTACCTGAAGTGGAAAAGGTGAGAAGAAGGTTACTTCTTCGGTTCCCACTTCAGGTACATTTATGTACATGCAGCTTGAGTCACATGATGGATGCCATGTCATCCTCGGAGACAGCTGCAGCCATCCGGGTGTCCCCATGGGGGATCCCAAGGGCATCTGGTGCAGGTGCGCATGCTGGGCACAGCAGGGAGCCGTCCGGGGAGTCTGGGTCGGGCGGGTCAATAGTACATTGATGCAAAGGAAAGTGGTCCATGTAAATAGAAAGAATAAACAGGAGGGGAATGATGGGAAGAATGAAATAAAGAAAAGGGAGAAGAGAGAGAAGAAAGAAAGAAAGAGGAGGGAAGGAGGGAGGGAAAGGATGGGGAGCAGGGCAGCAGGTGAGGTGTGGCTGGGTGGACCCAGGTGGGCCTGGGTCAGGCAGGTGTGCCCTGACAAAAGGGTGATGATGCAAAAACTTTGTCCTTCCCACAAAGAACAAACACAGCATGGTCAGAGTTGCACCGGTGGAAGCCGAGTTTTGCAAACTCTTTCTTCGCCTTCTCATACCACGACCTTGAAGCTTGCTTCAGGCTGTATAAACTCCTTTCCAACTTCCAAATGACATTGTCCTTCCCATAATTGGCACTCCCCATGGGCGGATTCATATAGATAACATGTTCGAGATCGCTGTTCAAGAAGGTGGTCTTCATGTCCATCTGGTGTACCTCAAGATCGAGTCATGCTGTCAGAATCTGGAGATTATTGTCAGAGACTGAAATATTGTCGGAGTCGAAATATTGTCAGAGTCGGACATACTGTCCGAAGACGGATGGAAGATGGATGGTTTCTGTCTGAGTCGGGGTTGGAGGTTGTGGCAGAAGCCTGTTGGAGCGCGCATGCGCAGATATGCGGGCGGAAATATGCGGCATGTCCGGAAGCGCTGTTCAAGGTTAGCAGAGTGGGATCGTGGCCTCAGTGACTCAGGTGGAGCGCTGTGCCCTGAGCTTGATGTTTGGGGGAGATCCTGTATTTACAGACTGACACTTACAGCACACTTCAAACAAGACTGGCAGGCAGAGCGGACCTGTAGGAGGAGCACAGACTCCACGAGCACGGACTCAGAGGGGGGGAAGCCCCCTTTGCAGAAGGAGGGACTCAGACCAGAACAGGGGGGGTACTCTAGTTGATTTCAGACTGAGGTCCCCAAAAGTATTTACAAGGTATAAGTAGGTAAGAGAAATCAAAAGAGGGACTGGTCGGTCCGGTGTGGAAATAAGCGGAAATGAGCGGGGACTTGTCAAACTAAACCAAGGACAAGAACCTGGGAAATGGGAGGCAAGGAATGAATAAGGTCAAAGTGGATCAAGTACCAATATTGACAGATTAAATGAATGAATAGGAAAGTGCAATAGCACACGGATCAAATGCCAATATTGGGGTGAACATAATAGGCACTCGGCAAGGAATGAATGTTATGTTGCCAAGTGACAAAAATGGCCAGAGGACAAAAGCGGAGGTCAGCGCGTGGCGCCGATACAAGTCCGCAAATAAGCGGGGTCGGTGCGGTGCTGACACAAGTCCGCGAACAGAGGTTGATCTGTCAGCACTGTCACACAAGGACAGCATGAAGGCCAACAGAGGTACAGAGGGGAGTGGGAGTGTTGACCTGACCAGAGGTGTCAAGGGCAACCAGAAGTGGCCAGAGGGTGCAGAGATGGGCAGAGGGCATGGAGTGGGCAGAGGGTGCAGAATGCACGGAAGCGGGGCATGGCTGTGACCACATAGCAGGAAGCAATGAGTGTGGTTCAGATGGAGACAAGGCTGGCATAGGAACTCTGAATGCTGGGAGTGCCAAGGGCTGAGGAACTGGAGGTAAGGTCGGAATGCCAGCAGGGTCTAGGTTCTGATTATTGGCCAAGTCTCATGCAATAAGGCAGGGGGCCAGACATGGGGTTGGGGGCTGGTTAGGATGGGTTTCAGGTCAGCAGATTTGCCTATTGGCATTGGTTTGCCGCTGACGGAGCCCTGGGATTTGTCGGTCGTGACACGTCCAGCGATAGTGAGTAGGATTCAGATTGATACCCACTTGACAACAGGTGCGAAGGTTTCATCGTAGTCAACTTGATAAATCTGACCAAAACCTTTGGCAATGATTCTAGCCTTGTAACGCTCAACAGATCCATCTGCCCCCTTTTTCAATGCAAATACCCAACGACAACCAACGACATTTCGAATGTCTACCTCATCAGTAC